TAGAGTGCAGTGGCATCATCAGCTGACTGCAACCTCAAACCCCTGGGCTCAAGTGAAGCTTCTGCTTCTGCCTTTCCAAGTAGCTGGGACTACAGGCGTGTGCCACCACACCTAGCTGATTTTCTAAATTTTCTGTTTTTGCAGAGGCTGGGTTGTCTCACTATGTTGCTCGGTTTTGGACTTGAACTCCTGGCCTCAAATGATCCTCTCGCCTTAGCCTCCCAAAGTGCTAGGATTATAGGCAAAAGCCACCATGCCTGGCCAGAGTTTCCCTCATTTTGTGTTTTGTTGATTGCATCCCTGTGGTGTCATTGACTATGTTTCTCATTTTCTATATTACTTGTAAACTGGTAGCTAGAACTAGAACACGGATTGGCAAACTAAAGCCTATGAGCAAAATCAAGCCTGCAGTTCTATTTTTGTACTGCCCTTGAGTTAAGAATGGTTTCTGTATTTTTAAAAGACTGTAAAAAAATAAAAAATATATATAACAAATAGAAGAACATGTAACAGAGACCATTGGTGGTCCACATAACCTAAAATATTTACTATCTGGCCTTTTACAGAAAATATTTGTCAACCTGATTTAGAGGACTGATTCTTATGATGGTTTTAAATATTTTTTTACATTTTCATTATTCTGATGAGGTTTTCTAAATTCTCTTGAGTCAATTTTGATCATTTATATTTTTCTAAGAAATAGTTCATCTTCATGATGTTTTCAAACTTGTTTGCATAGATTTGTACATAGTGCTCATGTAAATTAAAAATAAAAACAATTTTTCCATTATTAATCTTGGCCTAAATTTTAATCCCACCTTTACTATTAACAAAATTTCTGAGCAACAATGGAACAAATCACTTACTTCTTTTCACTCTCATTTTCTTATAAAATGGGAATAATAATAATTCCTGCCTCATAGAATTTTTGCGAGGATCAGATGCAATAATGGATGTGAAATTAGTTTGTAATCAAGTATTTCATTTACATGAACTTTTCCTTTTAACCTTGAAATGTTATCCTCGAGTGGGAAGACACGACATGAGACCTAGTGCACAAATGAAAGGGTTAGCTTTAATAGTACAGACAGTTGTGAGGAGCAAAGGCAGAGAATGTGGTTACAGAAGCTAAAAGTAGGTAGTTGGGGTGGTGGGAGTCTATAGAAATTCTTTTTTGATCACTTTTATTTTCTCAGTGAAGTAGGAGGCAAAGCTGTCATCTGATATTCAGGACTGGAGAGGAGATGTTGATGCTTTGAGGAGAAACAAGATATATAATCTTTCAGGGGAGTGGGCAAGTAAAGGGACTTACGCAGTATGTGTGATCACCAAGCAGCGTTAACCACTTCGGTACGAGCGTCGACTATAGCCGACAGCCACAGGTGAACGCGCACAGCCACTTTAGCCGACAGTCGTGATATGACTTTTCTAATTTTTCATTTATCAAAATAAAATTGTGAACATTTTAAAATAACGTAACGAAAACATATATGTATATGTTACCTATTCTGATTTACAAATAAAGCTGCCTGTAAAGTAAAACAAGCTTTCGGTGCTTTCAAGCTTTCCTCATCACACAAGAGCAAAACAGATTCGTCGTCACTGCACAACATAAACTATCGTGCGGACTGTGAGTGCCGGCTGCGGGCGAGGTGTCGCGGCCAGTGATCACCGCACCAACAAGGTTAAGGGTCTATAAAGCAGGCTGGGTGCTGTGGCTCACGCCTGTAATCCCAATATTTTGGGAAGCTCATGCGGGTAGATCCCTTGAGGCCAGGAGTTCAAGACCAGCCTGGGCAACATAGTGAGTCCCCAAATCTGCACACACACACACAAATTAACCAGGCACAGTGGTACACGCCTATAGTCCTAGCTACTGGGGAGACTGAGGCAGGAGGCTCCCTTGAGCCCAGGAGTTTGAGGCTGCAGTGAGCTATGATCAAGCCATTGCACTCCAGCCTGGGCCATCACACTTAGCTGACAGTGCAGGCACCAAGTACCGTGTTTCCCTGAAAATAAGACCTCCCCATAAAATCAGCCCTAGCAGGATTCCTAAGCATTTGTGCAATAGAAGCTCTACCCTGAAAATAAACCCTAGTGATGGGCGTGGCTACACAGCGCATCTGCACAACCCATGCATGTCGTCATGGAGCCGGAAAGAACCAGAGCAGCCCTTCTCATCTGCCCTGTCGTGACAGCTGCTATCCCAGAGGTGACCAGAAAGGTGCGGGCAGCCCCACCAACAAGGCTGGCTCCCTCTGTCAGGCCCAGCCATCCTGTGCGTGCTGCAAGCTGAGGCTTTGAGGGGAAAATAACACATCCCCTGAAAATAAGCCCTAGGGTGTCTTCTTGAGGAAAAATAAATATGAGACCCTGTTTTATTTTCGGGGAAACATGGTATATAGAGTGCGGGCTTTAACCAGGGTTGGTCTATCGCCAAGTGAGTGTGATACAGCAAACGAAGGGTCAGGGAGTTGAGAGTGATGCAAAGGAGTGATGGTGGTGATTGGTAGTGGAGTTTAAGCTGAATAAGGAGGGAAAATAGGACATTAAGGGGATCGGGGACAGTAAAATTTTGATATATCAATGGATTGTAGATCCCAACAGGATCAAAGTATAGAAGGAGTAAGGTGGTCTTATTTCTTTCCCTGAGCTTTCATCACTTGCTTTTTCTTAGACATCTCACATGCATTAAAGTCATGTGCTTTTCTTAGAATCCACACATAGAATCCATAGATAGGAAATAATTTGGAGGGCTAGACTGAAAAATTAACTATGGTTTCAGTTTGCATGCAAGTAGCTGAGATATTAGTGAGTCACATATTCATCTTAAGGGACTGCAATGTGTAAGGAAATCAGTGGCATATGCCATCCTTTCTCATGACCACTCATACCATTCTCCTTTCTCAATCTTATTTTAGAGGAAACTTACTTTAAAATGATTGCTCTGTGCTGTATTTCATGTCAAGGTTTGCTTAAAACAAAGTATAGGAAAAGTTGCTGTTCCATACTCCTCAGGCTATCCTTTCCTTTGCACTCCTTCCTCCTTTCCCTCTCTTCCTTCTGGAGAAAGAGCTGTGGAGAGGGGTGGGAGTAAGAGTGTGTAGGACAATGGACACCTTGCTCTCTGTTCTCTGTGTAATTTTAATGGCAATCTAATTGCATAGGTTTTGTTTATTTTCAAAAGTGCACTTTTCTGATGAACTTATTCAGAATAAACATTGACCAGACATTCTAATTTTTCAGTTCTTTTTGTCAGCGGAGCCAGAGAATTCTTCCACAGTGGCCCTAAGTCCCCCTTTTTCCTAGTTATAAAAAGTGAGTAAGAAGTGCTGCTGAGAAGCAAGGGAGTGAAGGACCAGAAAAAGAGGCAGAAGGAACGACCGAAGGAAGTAGGGGAAGGAGCACCTTCCTTTGGCTAGCTACATATCTAACACCAACGTTCATCACTCAGTTTATCCAAGTTCCATTGCCTCCCTCAGCTTCCTTTAGTCCCTGGGTCTCACTTTGCTGACAGAATAGCTTTATATATCTTCCAACTGCCTGAGCCCAAAGCTTCCCGTCTCAATAGTCTGTACATGGGTCTTGCTCTTTCTAACCCATCACTGAAATGTGGGTTAATTTTCTCTTACTTGAAAACAAAAACATTCTAACAGATATGGGACACTTAACTTTGTGTTTTGTATAACTATGTGTTGTGAATTTATATAGCAAATAATATTTCTTTTTTTTTGTATTTGTTAATTATTTATCAAGAGAAACTATTCCTCAGCCCACATAGCTCAGGGACACAGGTCAGTGACAAAATTCTACATAAATCAAGCCAAACAAATTCTTTATATTCCAAAATCACTTTGCACTCTGAAAGATGAAAGCCTTCCTCATTTCCTCAAAATCTTTCACAGAATCATAATTTCTGTAGAAATCTGCACATACATTCTTTCTTGGTTCAGCCACAGCACACTTATACAAAGCTGCAACCCCCAGGGATACAAGGAATGCTCCAACAATATGAAACTACAGGCACCTGGCCAGGAGGCCACACATCTGAAGTTTCGTCAAGCACTGGAAGCCATGGTAGTTACTGTCCTTGATGGGTATGCCAACCTCAACCCTTCCTTCCTGCAAATATATTTCCATTGTAAATATTAATAGTCAATTCAGTCCTCACAACTCTTTAAGGTAGGTGTTATTATCGCCTCCATTTATAGATGATGAAACTGAGGCACAAAGAGGTCTAGTAACTTGGCAATAGTTACATGATTTACTAATGATGGAATTGAGTTTCAAACCCAGATATTCTGCTTCCAGAGTTTGTGTGCTTATTCGCCACACCAGGCTGCCCCTCCTTTTGTAAATATAAATATAAAAAGTAAAGAAAAAATGAAATAAAAATTGCTCCCTTGACACTTCTACTGCCATTGCTCTTTTTCAGATAACTATCACCTTGTGCTGAGACTCAACATCAAGCACCTGTCATGCACTGCTTCACATTCTCTCAGCCCACCATCCTGTAAGCAGGTTAAACCCAATAGTACTTGCCTACTCTGTACTTTATCTCACTTTCTGTCATAGGGCTTCTTCTTGCCTGTGGGGACCTGTTTTGCCTTTCTAAAGCATGCACAAGCAAGGGAGTTAACACATCATATAGTGCCCCCTGACTAATGGGATAGGGAAGCTGTAGAGAAAAGTTCCCCTCTTCTGTTCCTCCAGTGGACAATTCTGAATTGCATTCTACATGGCTCCTTAGTGGGATTGACCCTCAGATGCCTAGCCAGAAAATATACTCTTCTAATGACCTTCCCTCCTTTGCTGCTTCACTCTCCCAAGTTCCCCACTCCTGTTGTGTAGGATTGCTTCCCAACATCAACACCCACATGAAAGTCCTTGCCTCATGCTCTGCTTTCTGGAGGAAATGCAGGAACAGACAGACTACTACTGCAATACGATATATTCAACTTTATTTTTAGCACTTTACTACTTTCTCATACATTTTCCCATTTAAGCCTCCAAAACTTCCATTGAAATAAGTTAGTATTGCTATATCCCCATTTTAAATGAAGACACTGTTTTCTTAAAAAAATAATATATGTGATGATTGTTTTTTTAAAAATTACACAGAACATGAAAAGGCCAATTTTAGCACATGGGCTCTTTTGTCCTCATCATCTTTGTCTTCTCTTGGTTGAAAGATGGTTGTTGCACTGTTGTACCTTCAGACATCATGACTGCATTCAAGACAAGAAGATTGAGAGGAGTAAGCCATGTAAGCTGAGTCTGTCTCCTCTATTCAATAAAGTAAAAGCTTCCCCCAAAGCCTCCCTCATACTGTAACAGAGAGAATGACCTGAAAAAACAGCAAAAATATTTTCTGTCTCTTTAAAACCTCCTCCACTTTTTTTTTTTTTTTGAGTCAGAGTCTCCCTCTGTTGCCCAGGCTAGAGTGCAGTGGCGTCAGCCTAGTTCACAGCAACCTCAAACTCCTGGGCTCAAGCGATCCTCCTGCCTCAGCCTCCCAAGTAGCTACGACTACAAGAAGCATGTGCCACCATGCCCGGCTAATTTTTTCTATATGGCCAATTAATTTCTTTCTATTTTTAGTAGAGACGGGGTCTCGCTCTTGCTCAGGCTGGTTTCAAACTCCTGACCTTGAGAAATCCTCCTGCCTCGGCCTCCCAGAGTGCTAGGATTACAGGCATGAGCCATGCACTGGATTTCCTCCACTCCATGGGAACTGTAGCCGGGCCTGCATCCCTGGGGCAGGGAGAATGTATTTTGTTCTTTGTGTTACAGGAGATAGCTCAGCCATCCCAGTAGAGTGCCAGCCCCTAGGTGGGCCCAGGTGGGCGTAGGTCACAGACTTTGTCTTTAGCAGAGATGGGATGATTAGAATCATTAACACAGTAGCCTAGAACTGAGGGCCCTCCCTTTAAAAGCTTCGTATTTCTGCTTCTGTTCAGGGAACTTTGAGACAAGAGTCTACAATTTTCCCCCTTTGCTGGCAAAGTAACAAATTCTTGCCTTCTCCTCAAACCATGTGTTCTCGTTCTTCTGATGTGGCCTCGAGAGCAAGTGTTAAGCTTTCAGTAACAATAACTTCTGTTTTGTTCTCATTAGCCAAAAGTCAATCAAATGGTCATTCCTGTTGGCAAAGAAAGCTGGGAAATTGGAGAACTGGATTGCCATGATTGACTTGAATCAATCATGATTCATTGCCTAGGCCTGGACATGTTGCCACATGGAACAAAAGTGGAGGTCTGCTAAGAATAAGGGGGAAATGGATATTAGTTGGGAAATTAAATTCTTATGTGTTCATTAATCCTTATATTTACCTAAATCATGTTTTCATAAGCTGCTTTTTAAAATTTAATATATCATACACATCTATGTAAGTCCAGTTAGCGTTGCTATAACAGAATACTTAAGGCTAGGTAGTTTATAAAGAAAGGAGTTTATTTGGCTTACAATTCTGTCAGCTGGAAAATTCAAGATTGGGTCTCTGTATCTGATGAGGGCCTCAGGCTGCTTCAACTCACTGCAGAAAGCTGAAGGGGAACAAATGTGTGCAAAAAGATCACATGGCAAAAGAGGAACCAAGGGTGGGGAAGTGCCAGTCTCTTTTTAACAACCAGCTCTTTTGTAGAAATTAATTAATAATTGAGTAAAAATTCATTCACCCTTGAGAGACCACATAAATTTATCCATGAGGAATCTGTCCCTGTGACCCAAAAACCTCCCACGGGGCCCCACCTCCCAGTATTGCCACACTGGGGATCAAATTTCAGCATGAGGTTTAGAGGGGACAAACATCCAAACCATAGGAACATCTTTATATGTCAATACACCATGATCCATCTTGCCCTTTTAAAAGAGTGCATGCTGAAGTGTTTAGAAGTGAAGTGCGGCCTTCTGGACATAGTCTGTGAATATTCAAGTACAGTACATGGGGATATATCTACTTCCCTTAATTTTTTACCCAGATAGTAGCATACTATACAAACCGTTCTGCACCTTGTTTTTTATGCATTTTTTATTTTGTCTTCCAAAAATTTGTCCTAATGAGTTTCCCTATTTCTTTCTTGAGTCAATTTTGACCATTTTTCTAAGAAACTATTTCCTTGATATTTTCTAGTTATTTTCATAGAGTTGTACATTATGTTGTCCCAAAACACAGAACAGCCAACAGAAGTCTCCATACATATTGGCTTAAATATTAATTTCACTTCTACCATTTACAAAGATTCCAGGCAACTTTGGGCAAGTCACACAAGTTCTGCTGGACCGTGCTGTAATTGTCCATGGTCTGACAGAGAATAATGAGCACTTTTGCGAGATCCATTTCCAACTAAAAACATAGAATAATTCCTATTTTAAGAGCTTGTCCCTATGCCTCCTTCCTTCCTGGGTTTCTTCAAAGCGTATTATCTCACACTCAACCAGAACCCTATTAGTTAAATGAGTAAAAGGGGCATTGAAGCTGAACCCTCACTGCCTGAACAATTATTTTATGGCCAGCATCAAGGATATCTTAAAACTCTTGGTGAAGAGGCCCAGAGATGAGGTTAAGAGAAGTTGGGGGCTGGTGGTTAGGGAGAGATAACTAATTTTGGAGGTTAGCAAGGAAACGGAACAGGCTATCAATGACCTCAGGGAAGTGTAAAGGGACTTGGTGATTAGATAAGTGTCAGAAATCATGGGGGGTGGGGGATGCGGTGGGAAGCTTCAGGCAGGGAAGGGTGGGCTGGGACAATTGTATACGATATTCTCTTTAATTAAAAAAAAAGGTTTCATATCTGCTGGCTTGAATTTTAATCTTAATGTCACTTTCAGCAGTATTTGGGTAAGTGCTGGAAATGTGCTTGGTTTGAAGGAGAATTAACGTGATATCTAAACAAAATACAAAAGCACCATTAGTTTGGGCATTTTATCGCTCCACATTCTACATTCTTTCTCCTTAAATTTACCATTATACTTCGGTTCTTTCCCAGATCGCCTATCCAGAAATATAAAACACTTTATTTCACACCCATTCCCTACTTGGTTAAATACTTCCCACCTCCAAAGGGCACCCAGGTACCCTGAATACTGACTGCGTCAACAATGGCTGTTATTACCTGACCTCATTTTAGCCTGGGGCCAAGGTAAACGAGTCAGAAACACCGGGGAAAAGCCCTAACATGCGGTATGGAAAAGGGGTTGGGACATGCAGATTTGTTTACGTTATTCTTACTGTAGTTTATCCTCTTTTAGACAGGGAACATTTTCAGTACTTGCCCCAAATGGCTTAGCAACTTTGGAAGTTGTAGTGGGATTAAAAAGTTTGGCCAATGAAGCTTCTTTCTCCTCCTCCCTAAAGAGGGTGAGGGAGAAAAGTAATCCTGGAGGGTCCGTGTAGAGACAGCAGAGAAGTTTATAAAAGTCCAGGAAGTGGGAAGCAGCTTGGCAGCGGGAATGAGAACCGCAGGGAGTTAGGGGGTCAGGGGCTCGGGCGGAGGAGTAGTTGGCCGAAGAGGCTTGATTCCTCCAGTCGGGAACACGGAAACTTGAATTTGCTCCGTGGCCAGGGGGCGGGGCAGGCTTTTGGCCATAGGTACTGTGCTCCGGGGCACTGCACTCGGAGCCTACTCCTGAGAGCGGGAAACGGGTGTGTGGGGTCGGTGGGGTGGAAGGCAGCGGCGGTCAGGAGACCGACGGAGCGATCTGAGAATCGGGGTTGAGTGTTAAAGGGGGAGCATGTCTAGCGGGACCCATGGCCCCGAAGAAGCGAGGCGACGCGGAGCCCTTCCCGACACTCGGAGAACGAGGCAAAGCGAAGGGCTGAGGGCGCCGCCCGTTGCCAGGCGCCTTCCAGTGACGCGACCGCGGCGCGCTGACGCGCTGACCGGCCGCGGCCTCCACGTCTCAGGTTTCGCAAAGGCCTGTGGGAGCGACCCGGGAGAAGGAGGGCCAAGATGGCGGAAGCGGAGGAGTCTCCAGGAGACCCAGGGACAGCATCGCCCAGGCCCCTGGTGAGCTTGGGATCCGCGACAAAAGGGACCGAGGGTGAGGCAAGAGTGCCCCCTAAGGAAGTCAGGGGACGGGCTCATGACCTGAGAGAGCTGGAGCCCTTTCTGCCCGGCAGGCCCTTCCTGTACCTGACTCCAGAACCAGTCCCAACACTGCACCTGTTCTTTGGGCTAACCGCTTTGCCCCCTGCCCACCTTATTCCTTCCACGTCTTCTTGTGAAACTCCCGTCCTCTTTCCTTTACCATACTCTTAAGGCTGATCCTCGTCCCTACATTGTGTTAAATGCCGAGTTTTAAGATTTCTAAAGCATCTTTTCTTCTGCTGTCCTCTCATTATATGAAAACCTGTCACCACCAGCCCTTGTTGGATAGCAGCATTTTAGGAGTAATGAGAGATTGCTTCCCATGGGACATTAAGGTGTTACTGCTTATAATTTGAGTCTTGACTTGTTCAGTTACCCCAGTGGGCTAAATTTAATCCCTGCCCTTCCTGTCCGCAGCTCTTTGCCATCCTCTTCCCAATATCTCCTGTCTCTACAGGGGATAGAATTTCTATTGTAAGTACAAGCCCAAAGTGTGGACAAGTATTTAAAAACACAGGTTTTGAAATTATACTAACCTGAGATGTTATCCACCCACTCTGCTGCTTGTATGAATTTGGGCAAATCATTTCATGGAGGGGGTTTCTTCATCTGTAAAATGGAGATTAAAATACCTACCTCAGAATTTTAAAAAGATCAAATAACATAATTTATGTAAGGTGTCTAATACAATCAGTGCCATGAACTGAGAAATATAATTAACTCGACATTCACCCCTAATGTCCCTCTTCCCAATGTGTTTAGTTATATAGTACTTGTTCAATAAATGGTACTTACCTTTTCTTTTAAATTGACAGCATAGTGGAGAACTGAACTGGGAGCCAAGTGAACCTGATTCTAGTCCTAGCTCTGCTGCTTACTAGCTCTATTTGCTCATCTCTTCCTTCATTCAAAAGATATTTATTGAGCATCCACTATTTTCCAGGAACTCTTTGGCACTGGGGGTATAGTAGTGAAAGAGAGTGAGTTGGGCTAAGTACTCATGGAGCAGTTGTGATCTTGAGTAAAATCACTCTGAACCCCAGTTTCCTCATTTGGAAAATGGTGATAGAAATTCATCACAGGATTAGTGAGAGGACTGAATGAGCTAATATATACATGGTACCTATCATAACGTAGTCATAGGTGCTTAGCTGTTTTTAGTTCCTAGCTTTCATCTAAACTGCCCCACTCTTCTTCCGTGAAGCTTTCCCAGTTAATTTCAGTGGTTCTGGTCACTCGATACTGAATATCCAATCCATTTGTATTCAATAAATGTTCATTGAACTCCCACAGTGTGTAATGCACTGTGATAGTTGCTTTAAGGAATACAAAGGGCCTGCCCCTGTGGTGCTTACAGTCTAATTTGTAGGGATAATACAAATATACAATGCTAAAATAAGGCAATATATAAGAGAAAGTTGTACATACAATATTAGGGAAATTTAAAAGAAGATTCTATCATGTCCAGTTAGGATGCTAGGCCTGAAACCTAGGTCTGACCCTGAAGTCCAGACTATGTCCATTTATGCTACACAGCCCCTCATGGACAAAGGCACAGAAGTTGGAAGGTGCTAATGTATCTGTAGAACAATAGATAGATCAGTTTGGCTGAAGCACAGGGAATTATTAGGAGATAAGCTTTAATAGGTAAGCCTACTGAAGTAGGGAGGCAGTATGGAACAGTAGTTAGGAATGTGTGCTCTGGAGTCAAATTGCTTAGGTTTGATTCTAAGCACTGTCACATAACTAATGGGATGTTCGGGAAATTACCAAAGCCCTCCATGCCTCAGTTTCCCCATCTTTAAAATATAAATACAGCAATACTTTATAGAATTGTTAAGTAGATTAAATTAGAGTTAACACATTAGATGAGTTAACACAATAGAGTGCCTGCACATAGTAATCATGCAATAAGTGTTACTGACTATTAACCTGGGCGGTTTAACAGGCTAGGAAGAGCCAGTGGATATTTTTGAGGAGTGAAGGGTTTAAAATCATGAATTGGACGATGTAACAGAGGATACATTACAGTGGGGAATGTCTGGAATCTAGAAGACCAGTGGAGCTGTTGCAGTAGTCCTAGGAAGAAATGATGCACATCTGGACTACAGCAGTAGTGGGAGATGCGAGGATTTGAGAGATAAGGCAGAATCCATGAAGGTTTGTAGTGTGCTAGGGAGAGTATGTCTTAGATCAGTGTTTTCCAAACTTTAATATGCACAGCAGCATCTGGTTAAATTGCAGGTTCTGATCAGTAGGTCTGGGATAGGGCTTGCAATTCTATATTTCTATTAATAAAAGGCTCCCCGGTGCTGCTGCTGCTCCCAGTACCACATTTTGAAAAGCAAGGCTATAGGCCAGGTGTGGTGGCTCATGTTTGTAATCCTAGCACTTTGGGAGGCTGAGGCAGGAGGATCGTTTGAGGTCAGGAGTTCGAGACCAGATTGAGCAACATAGAAGACCCTGTCTCTACAAAAAATAGAAAAAAAATCAGCCAAGGGTGGTGACACGCACCTGTAGTCCCAGCTACTCAGGAGGCTGAGGCAGAAGGATCATTTGAGCCGAGGAGTGTGGGGTTGCAGTGCACTCTAGCCTAAGTGATGGAGCAAGACCCTATCTCAAAAAAAACAAAAACAGAAAAGCAGGGTTATAGACAACTGACAGTATAGTGATGTCCTCAACAAAAATAGATAATATACGAGGAGGGTTAGCTGGATGAGGGCCTTAAAAGTTTATTTATTCAGTTTGAGATACTGGCAGGCCATTCGGTAGATAGTCAATAGGCAGTTGGACTTGAGGACTCAAAAGAGGTCAGGACTAGAGATGTTGATTTAGGAGTCATCTGCACAGAGTTAAAAAGACAGAATTTTGGGTAATGCCTGTCTATATTTAGGGAGCAGGAAAAGATCTCTAGTGATGGCTGCAGCTTGGGCTATGTGAGGAAGCTGGCCCCAGGGGAAGGGGCTGGCTGGAGAACATATCACTAGCCGCCTTCTACCCGCTCCTTGGAGCCAGGCCTCTTGGACTGAGCTGAATCCTGCTTGATTCTCCCTCATTGACTTCTTTCTCCAGCATTTTCGTCAATAGTATAAGCCATCAGCTCCCAGTCATTTTTTTCAGGGCTGCAGTCCCTGCTTTTATTGTGTGTTTTTGGCTCTGCTTCTACCTGTTCCTCTCACTGCCCAAGCCAGGCAACAAAGTATGCATGTGTGTTTCTGTGCACATGGGTGTATATATGCAAGAGCCTGCCTGCGCATGGGAAAGGGGAGAAGCATGGAGTCCAAGTCACTTTTCTTTCCCACTGAAGGTTAGACAGAGAGCAGGCCCATTAGCTGAGGGCCTGGACGTCCTGTATATAGGGGACTGGAGGGCTGTAGTTCCTGGCTCAGCTTGTGGAACATTGTCACTAGTTCTCTTGAGAGGAGATATGGGGGAGGGATCACATGACACTTTAGTGAAGACTGCGATGAGTTCTGACACCAGCCACCTGGAATTAGGTCAGACTTCATAGGTTAAAAGCATAGTCCTCTACAAGACTGCTTTTACTTCAGACACCAGCCACAGGTTTGGAGGTTCCCAGGACCACCCTCACCTCTGACCCAGCTGGCTACAAATTCAGGAGTTCCTTTGATCCTAGAATGACTCACAGAACTCAGGACAGTGCCATACTTAAAATTACAAATTCATTTTAGCAACAGGATACAAATCCAAAAACAGCAAAAGGGAGAGAAACACAGGGTTAGGTGTGGGAAGGTCCCAAACACAAAGATTTCTTGTCTTTTCCTTGTGGAGTCAGGCCGTCTTACCCTCCTGGTAGATTTGTGTGTGACAATATGCAGAGTATTGCCAACCAGAGAACCTCACTCATGTGTCTAGAGTTTTTATTGGGGTTTCATTGTGTAGGCATGATTGATTAGATCATTGGTCTCATAACTGAACTCAGTCTTCAGCCTCCTACTGTCCTCAGAGTTTGGGCTTATATCTTGTGACCCCAACCCTCTAATTATATATTTGGTCTTTCTGATGTGGTTAGCCCTCATCCTGAATGATCTCCTAAGTGTAAACTATCTAGTGGCCTACCATGAGTCACCTGTTAGCATAAACTATCAGAACCCACCATGAATGACAAAAGTACTCTTAACCAGGAAATTCTAAGTTTAGACAGTACCTCCCAGGAACAAGGGACACAGAACAGCCAAATTCTTTATAACAGTCACAAAGCTAGATTGACTCCCTGGGAATCTTCAGCCTGAGCTAACATTTATCTAGCCCCTGCTGTGTGCCTGATATTAAGTGCTTTACGTGTATTAATACATTTCTTTCTCACATCAACCATGTGATGATGGTGCCATTATCTCAATTTTACAGATGGAGAAACTAAAGCACAGAGAGTTCAAGTGACCTGCTTAATGTCACATAAATAGTAAATAATGGAGCTGGGATTTGAACCCAGCCTGCCTGGCCTGCACTCTTACCAGTATTCTCCAAATACTATATGTTGAGCATTGACTATGCGGTGGATGCAATGCAGGTGTTATGCAGTTTTTATAGCAGTGCTGTTTCCATGTGAGAGCAGAGCCCTATTTGGCTTTAAAGCCTATTTCTTATACTGCACTGCCCTACCTCCCTTAGGAGTAGCAGGCAGCAAGGAAACTCAAAACAAGCAGTCCTGGATCTTAAAAGGATAGTGTCATAGTAGTAAAGAGAGAATACAGCTTCAAAAAGGTGTGGTGTAGGCCGGACACAGTGACTTACACCTGTAATCCTACCACTTTGGGAGGCCGAGGCAGGAGGATT